TGTGTATATAACAACTTTTTTAAATATTCTGTTATACCAAAATCAAACGAACAAATTAATCGAGAGGAAATAGAATAGTACAGACTATTGCAATTTCCAGTTGTCAAAATATGTGATAATATTAGAAATTTAGAATAGTCAAAAAGATCTCTTGTAACGTAAATCCAAAAAAATAAATGTGAACGTCATATGTGACCTACATTAAATATTAATTGGTTTTCTTTCCAACTTATTCATACAGGTAGCCGATCGGCATCTCCCTATGTATTAAATTACACTATAGTCCGAAAAAAGGTTCAATACAAGCCTTTAATTGGATAATTATACTAATATTACATTAAATAGGGTATACATATAGTTTATTTATACTTGGATAGGAAAGGTTGTGTCCGTATGAGTTCAATACATGTTACTTTCTTTGTTTAATTTATATGATATTGTCAATTAAATTTTTATGATATTTTTTAAAATATTTAAAGTTGTTAATTATTATGATTTATAATAATTTTTATGATATTTTTCAAATAATATATATATGTTATCTTATTTTTTCAATGATTTTTAAATATTTTATATTGTTAATCATTATAATTTATAATACTTTTTACGTAATTCTCAAATAAAATATTTATTACTTTTTCTATCTCAATTTATGTAACACTGTTAGAATTTCAAGGGTCGACCAATCTAAATTATTATGATTTATAATACTTATATATATATTGAACATATTAAGTTATTTATTATTGTAATTTACAGTACTTTTAACATAATTTTCAAATATATAACATAATAATAAAAAGAAAAGTTATAAAACAAATAAATCAAAACGAAAAGAATACTATATGCCCCCACACCCGCGTCTTCGGCTACAAGCACAAAGCTCAAACAAACATATTGTATCATAGTTGTGTGCTTATAGCCTCTTATATATAAGAGAATTTCAATTAATATTTTTTTTCTTATATATAGTATATAATTACTCAACTAATTTGCACTCGTGTATTTGATACAAATTAGGAAAGCAACCTTCTAATACTATATGATATAAAATGAGTCAAAAATTGTAGATTAAACTGTGAATTTTTCATTTGTTTTTATATTGTTAATATAATTTTATATTCCACCGTGTTATCTCCAACCCAAAACCTCACACGTCAAGCCACTAATCTAATAATAAAGCCAAAAAAGTCATATATACAACTAGGCACTAGCTTCTCTTTCACACATATTTTAATTTCTACATACCTTATTTTATATCCCCACTTGACTTTCTATCTACTATATATAAACCCTTCATCACCTTCATAATAATAACAACACCTCCCATATCCACATTTTTTTTAATTATAGCTTATCTTGATTATAATTATAATATTATGGAGACAGAAAGTTATACAAATGGAGGAGGTGTTGCAAAAGAAATTGGGATTGCTAATAAACAAACCATAAGATGGAATGATTTTGTCTTGAGATTTTTGGCATTTGTACTAACACTTGTGGCTGCCATTGTGCTTGGAGTTAGCAAACAAAATGAGCTTGTGCCTGTCCAATTGGTACCAACTTTGCCGCCTATCAATGTTCCGGCTTCCGCTAAGTGGAGTCACATGTCCGCCTTTGTGTAAGCATTTAATTTTGATCGTGAATTCAGATATGAAATTTTTATTTTATTTTTTTGAAATAGAATTTTATGTGTTTGGAAATTATATGAAAGTATTATAAGGGATGATAATTGATAATTTTTAAAAGCACATGAAACGATTACGGTAAAGGATAACTTGTTTGACTTTTGAAATTCTAAGATAACAACGGAGGGAGTATCTTTCGTTTGGTATTATGATATTTTTTTATCTAAAAGAAATACAAATATGACAAGCTATTTTTGCTACTATAAGTCAATTTTGTAAATGTAATTATACGTTAAGGTAAATCTCATGAATAAAGATGCAAGAGGCAATACTCTCGCCATTTTTAAGAAAAAATATATATTGGGGATTTATTTTACTAAATTAATTTTATTAATTCTGTTTCCAAAATTTATATTTGGCTGCTACTATCATTTTATGTTATTATTTATACTCTTTTTATTTCATATTAACTGAATTTTCTGAGACTTCTTTTATTGTTCGAAATAATTGAATTGTTCAAAATTCAAGATGAATGTTTTGAATTTTTTCCCCATATTTTCCCTTTCCTTTTAATGAAGTGCGATACTTTCTAAGAGATAAATTGCATTACTTACAAAGTTATATTTTTTATTTTACAAAGGACAATAGTGAAAAATATGAGTTTAAATTATGTCTTTTCTTCTTACAAATTTAATTGATATGAAATAGAGGGAGTAATAAAGATAATATTTAAAAAAATCTCAATTTAATAAATTGAATAAGTAAAAAAATTTCATTTTTAATATAAAGGTCAAATAAAATGAAACGGAGGAAGTACATATTGTTTTGGCATGAAGTAAATGAATTGGCAGTTAGATCGTCGACAGGCAAAAGTATGTGATGGCAACAAATATCTTGCCTACCTAAATTAGACTCTTTCTACTCCCTCTTGATTACAAATGTTATTGGAAGATAGTGACTCATATTAATATTATCGTTGAGAATGAAATGTTAGTTGGGTTTATATAATTTATTATATAGTTGGTAAATTTTCAATATTATTATTTTTTAAAGTGTTTTGATTGGTGTAGACGGTATAAATATTTCTTGTACCGTTTTTGACTCAAAACTAGTTTTGATTTGGGTCAAATTGATGCTTCCCAATTGAGCCTAGCTACTAGATAAAATCAAAATTTTAATTAAATATTACTATGTGATTGAAACAAGAGTGTTAATATTATATAATTAATGAGTATTAATCTTTTGTAAATTTTAAAATAAATTTCAGGTACTTTGTGATTGTGAATGCAATTGCATGTGCATATGCAGTTATCTCCTTAGTCCTTTCGTTGGCAAATAGAGGAAAAGCGAAAGGCCTCTCTCTAACAATCATTCTCTTCGACCTCATCATGATGGCTCTTCTCTACTCCAGTGTCGGAGCGGCCGCGGCTGTCGGCCTCATCGGATACAAAGGGAACACCCACGTCCGGTGGAACAAGGTGTGCGACGTGTTTGGTAAATTTTGTGGACAAGTCGCGGCGGCAATTGCCATTTCACTCGTTGGTTCTATATTGTTTTTGTTGTTGGTGTTGTTTGCTATGTTGAACCTCCATAAGAACAGGCGTCATTAGCAAGTTGGTTCGAACACTATAGTTAAAAAGTATTTGTCTGTAAAATAGTTTTTCTACATACGAAGTTTTATTGTATTGTATTAGATAACTAGGCTATGGTGTTTTCTTAAATTTAATTAATACTTGCGTGTTTGGTAAATCATCATTTGTAGACCTAAGTGTGTTGCATTTCTGGTTTCAGTAAATATAGTAGTTTTATTAAATTTGTTTAATTTATGTATATTCTTGAAATTGGAAGTGTGATTTTAATTACATCATCATATATTAATCTTTTTATCATAAGGATACCACAATGTAATATAATGATCTTGATGTTACAATTTGAATTACAAAGTCATAAGTTGCAAATTTGAATCCAAATGATCACACTAATTGAATGGGCCTCTTTGTCCTCACTTAACTCTGTATATATAAAATAAAATAGATTTCAATTACACATATTTAATGATGTTCAAACAAGTCACAACTTTGACCTATTATGGCGTTGCATGTTTGGTTTGGTTAGATAAAAGATAATAATTTTGAGATTAAGTGTGAAATTATTTTATCCAGTACACTCGATGAAATTGTTTTATCAATAACAAATCTTGCGGCAACATTTAAATAAATAAATAAATCTCTCACTCAATTTAGATGGATTACTCAAAATGAGAATATGCAAATTCAGGGTTAATAAAAATGATTAATCCAATTTTTTATTGTTGTTTTACGAAACAGACCGTTAATTTAAATAACTTTACATCATCATTGGTGTTGTAAGTTTTAAGTTATGAAGTTGACCTTTTCAATTTAATTTAGAACTGATTTTATAATGGATTAGGTACTAAACAAACTTTTAAGGGGCAAAGAACTTACCTAGAGCTGTCAATATGGGCTAGTCCACCCTATTCGGGCTAACTCATACAGACTTTAAAAATTGAAGGTCTAGGTCGGGTTAGCCCATTTTGGTGTGGACTAGAAAATGGTCGGCCCAGCCCACAAGTACGTGGGCTATGGGTCAGCCCTCTTTTTTTAAAAGTATATTTTTTTTAATTTTTTAAATTAAATTATAATTTAAAAATATTATCATAAATATTGACAAGATAATATTACATGGTGTTCGTGTTACTACTTGTTAATCAAATCCACAAATAAAATTATCTTTATAATATTTAGGGATAAGGGTCTGAAAAATACCCCAACTTTGGTCGAATTTGTTGTTGCGATACTAAACTTTCATGAGGACCTATTACCTCCATAGACTATTTAATACCGTATTTTTTACCCCCTGAATTTTAGATTTTTAATTAAATTATAATTTAAAAATATTATCATAAGTATCGACTAGTGTTACTACTTGTTAATCAAATCCACAAATAAAATTATATCCCTAATATTTATTAAGTTTGATTTCAAGTAAAAAACATAAATAGATTGATAGAAATATTAATCTAATTGTTTTCCAATGATCATAATAAAACACAAAAACTATGACAATATTTCATAGGTTACGGCCTATGTAGTGATTCCCTAGAAATTTTAGGGAATTTTAATTTTATGTAGTACATATTTTATAAACATAATTTGTATTTAAATTGTAATATTTCAAACTTTAAACAGATTTTGAGTTTAGACTCTTGTTATTTTTAATACTCTATTTTATTTTTTTATTTTTTAATTTAATTTTTATTTGGCCCACGGGCCTGCCCTATCCATATTTCTCAAGCCCCACAAATCGACAAGCTTATTCAGGCCGGGCTAAAAAGTTTTTTTCTTAAATGGGCTGCAAAAATCATAGTCTAGTCCTATAAAATCACGAGTTAGATCAGGCCGACCCAACGGGCCTAGCCCATATTGACGGCTCTAAACTTACCCATATAAAAACTTCAAACTAATTCAATTTTCATGATTAAACATTCTCAACTTAAAGCTTTCATCTTATATAAACAGTGATATTTTGTATTTATAATAATTTTATATGACTAATTTTTAATTTTATTTTATTTCAAGAATGATATCATTTCACTTCACATTATTCTCCATTTCTTATTGGCTGGAGTGGAGAGAGTATAAAAGTTTCACTTTTCTTACAGCCCAAGTACCACTCCCCCCCCCCCCC